ACCCCGCCGTGGGAGACACGGCACTGCACGAGGCCTAAGCTGGTGCAGGCCCTCTCCCTCCCTCCGCCCGCCAGCGCGCCACACAGGCTGGGGGCCAGGACACCCGGAGCCTGCTCGCAGGACACTCCCCAGCGGCCAATCTGGGGAAAAGACTGAAGATAAACGACCCTAATTTTCTAACTTTTAACTCCCTAGCAAGCGCCTTCCCGCCCAGGACAGGGCCTCCGGGTCGGGCGCCGCACGGCGTGAAGCCAGCTCAACTCCGAGAAGAGAGGCGGGCAGGTCGCGGCAGACTGGACTTCACTCTGCGTGCAGGCAACCCGAGCTGGCGATCAGATCTCGAAGTCTTCAAAGACGAGTCACCTTCACTCTCCGCTCTACTCCAGCCAGGCAGTCTCGCCACCTGCTCGGCCAAGCTAGCAAACCGGCCTGGCACACAGTCCCCCGTTCGGCATCACGCGCACACGGTGGCGACCGGGCGTCCTCAGAGCTGGGAAAGCAGCTCCTCCATCCCAGAGGGACCCGGGAGAGCAGGGGTCAGCCCCTGGAAGGACAGTGCTCTCGGGAGGTGTCCCCACTCCCGTCACCCCAGCTCAGGAGGAGGGTTAAAGGGTTCCCGGCACAGACCCGCTGTGTGCTCAGACCGGATTCCAGACGCACGTGCCAACCAACCCCGCCCCAGGAGAATGGACCCTCTCACCAGCCAGTCACGCTGCGGCCTCCCCCGGGCTCCCGGCCACCCTAACACTCTCACCATTGCTGCACGGCTGCCACGCAAAGAACAGCCTGTGGAAGAAAGGCCCAGAAAGGCAGCCCGGGCCCTGAGATCAGTGGTGACAGCCAAGCCAGAGGGTAGGACCGGAACTTCCCAAGAGTCATCCCGCCAGGAAGCACCCAGTCAGAAGAGAACAGCGCTCCACGCAGGAGAGCCCGCCCAGCAAGGCAGTAACCCCCCCATGCCAGCCCCAGACCCAGCCGTGGCCAAGAGAGAGCAGGGACCAAGCCCTGAGGGCAGCCCTGGGGCGCCTGACCAGCCGCAGCCCTAGGTGCAGAGGGCGAGGTGGCCGTGCAGTCAGAGAGGCTGCAGGGGCCACAGCCCGCATGACCCACGAGGGGCCACCAGCCCAGGAGTCAGGGCCCTGAGGAGCTAAGAGGCCCCCCGCAGACCCACGGGGGACAGGCCCCACCCGCACGGCCAGCACCCCAGGCATTTCATCCAGGGGCCACACACCCACTCAGCAGGCTGACCAGAGGCTTCCAAAGGGCCTCGCTGCAGCCACACTGGCCGGGGCAACCCCCAGGTGGCCCCGAGGCACGCGCTCTCCGGGAATCCGTCAGCATGACACGGCGGGTCTGCGGGCCTCCACAGCAGGGCCCCGTTTCTGGCCTTGAACACATGGGACTCCTGTCTGGGGACTGTGGGAACCCTCTTTTACCCCACAACTAACACCTAGCCCCTGGGGCGTGGAGACAGAACCCAGGCACAGGCTCCTCACTCCAAGGCCAAGTGCTCTTCCTCCCCTTACGGCCGCTGCTGTGAAGCCATTTAAAACAAGGGACAACATTTCACATTAAGTAGTGACAAAAAGGGGGCCTCCCTGGTGATGCAGGGATTAAAGGCTCAGCACTACGAAGCTGTCCGCAGCCGCTGCAGCACAAGTTCGATCCTCAGCCAGGGAGCAACCCACATGGCGAGGCAGACCTCTCCTGTCTCCCCGCTGCTCCCCTCAGCAGTGGATTTCAGGGGATCTGCCTGTTCTGCTCCCCGCTCTGTCTCTGGAGGGTCCTCTCACCCCTGAACCTCTGGCCCGTATCCCAGTACTTGTGTGCATAAATAAAAACAATCCTTAAAAAAAAAAAAATTACTGACAAAAAGGCAATCAAGAGGCTTTATCCCAAAATATAATTTTAAAATTATGACACTTCTCACTTTCAGACACTCACACAAAAGCCCCACAGGCACGGAGCGGCCGTGCACGGCCTGGAGGAAGCCGGGACCCCGGGGCGGCTCCCAGCGCACACGGCCCCAGCGCCCGCGCTGACGTCCACGCGACGGGCACCCAGGAGATCATTTCCACAAAAGCGAGCGGGGCGTCCCTCTTCCCACAACGCGCGCACAGCCCGCTTCACACTCCCACGTGGCCCACGCTGGCCAGTGCCCGGCCGTCCTGGGCAGGACCGCCCACTTCCTCGCAGGGGTGCGCTGGCCGGCACTGTTCCTCCCACCATGGGAGCCTGGGCAGCAGCCGCTGCCACTACCGGAGAGTGAGGACTTGGAGAGGCCCGCAGAGGCCCGCGCTGGGCAAGCGTCTGCAGCGCCCAGCTTGCTCTCCCGCAGTCTCGCACCTCTGGGGCCTCAGGCACAGAAAAACGGGCCCACACGACACCATCACCTCAGGGGTAGGGGTACAACCCCCCATCCCACGCGCCCACAGGGAGGGGTCGGAGCGCGAGGGGCAGCTGGAGGGATGACGGCCGAGGCCTGCGTGCCCCCCCCCACGTGGTCCCTACCAGGACTGCTGAGGGGCCCCACGGCAGAGCGCCAACTTGGGCTGGGTGGTGGAGGGGAAGCCAGGCACCCCTGCAACTCGGCCACCCTGAGAGGGGAGGACAGGCGCCCCGCAGGGTCCGGCCCAGGGGGCCCATGGGCTCGGAGCATGTCCTTCGAACACTGCCTATTCTTCTCTCAAGAGCACCCCCCAGGGGGAACCACCTTGGGGAGCAAAGATGTTGAAACTCACGGCATCCTCTTTCACCTGCTTTCTCCCCATCCCGCTCAGGTGAAAGCAGACCCGCAAGCCCCCGAGGTCAAGCAGCCGAGGGCAGAAGCCGCCCGGCCAGAGGGGACAGGCGGGCAGCATTGCTGGCTGATGCTGCCCACCCAAGGCCCGGCTCCTCCCCTCTCCGGACAGCAGCTGCACCTTTCCAGAAACAGCTTCGCTGGGACCACTCAGTCCATCTCAGCAGCTTCTTGTCAACCAACCCCTTTCCTGCTGCCCGGTGCAGGGGCCCCACGGCCACCACGGCTCCCTCTCCCAAGACTCCGGTGGCCTTTCGCAGCCCGGCACACCGGCGGCCACGGCACGATGCTAGTTCTGGATGCCAACAGGTCGTTCCCAGGGATGGTGGGTCCTGGGCAAGAGCTTCTTGGGGCACCTCCTCTGGCCACAAGCAAGCTACCCCCGTGGCTGCCTCCAGCAGTCCCCCTTAAAGGGCAGTGCTGGCAGGGCCTGCAGCAGAGTCCACACAGGCCAGGCCGTGTGGGCAGGCGCGCCTCGCGGGAGAAACGCAAAGTAGAGAACCCAGCATCCTGGGGGAGGCCACAGCGGCAGCCAGGAAAGGCGGCCAGCCGGAGGCAGAGGGGGCACCACCTGAGCGTGACAGCAGGGGCGCCTCGGCGGGGGCAAACGCAGGCCGGGATGCGGTGCTCGGCCAGAACCACATAGCCTCCTAGCTGAGTCCTCGCAGCAGGCAGGAGCTGGAGGTGGCGCCCTGGCAGAGGGGGAGCAGGCCTGGAGGCAGGGCCCAGAGCAGCAGCACCCAGAACTTCAGGCACTGGGAAGAGCGGGTGCCCTCACGGGGGCCCAGGGGACGGGACCTGACTATATCGCTGGCAGAGACCACCCCATGGCCAGTGCTGGGCCTGGCCGAGAAAGGGCAGGAGCGCGTGAAGACCACCGCTCCCTGGGCAATCTTGGCAGCAGACTGACGCCCGCAGGTGAAGCGAGGAGGCGCGATGAGGTGCGGGCCTGCTCTCTCGCAGCTGGTAGAAGACGAGATGATGAGACCGGGAGCCTCGTGGGCAGCCCGGCCCCAGATTCCTACAAAGCACCTCGCGTGCAGGTGGCCTGGTTCGTTTGTCCGAGGCTTACTAGATGCCCCCAGGGAGGAGACCACTCCGCAAGCTGGTGATGTGCCCCGGCAAAGCAGGCGGGACCCCAGCCCCTGGGCTGAGCGATGCTGCAGAAGTGAGGACGCACCTCCACCCCCTTTCTGAGCCGAGGCCCTTCCAGTCAGGCGGCGGACTAGGAGCCCGCAGGCTCCCTGAGACACTGCTCCACCTGCCTCCTCTCTCCAAGCCCTGCAAGAGGTGGGCGGGAGAGGAAGCGCACAGGCCTCTCTCAGGTCGGAGGGGCCGTCAGGCTTCAGGGCATGGAAGGGAGCGACACTGCAACCAGGCCAGGCGAGCCCAGCTGCGCAGCACACACTCACTAGCGCGTGTCCCACACGCCTCAGAGTTGTGTCGAGACGTGTTTCCCAGCAGAGTTCAAACACAAATCAAGAGGACTTTTAAGAAAGAACCCCGGGACCCTGCAGGGGCGGGATGGATAGGGCACTCGTGTTTGCAACAGCCCCCCAGAAGCCCTGATGCCCTTTCACTCAACAGGACACCCCGCAGGGCGGGTGGATGTTCTGGGTCCCGAGGTGAAGACAGACCCACGTGCGCGCACTTGGTTTCCAGCTGACCCGACGCAGCAGGCCAAGGGCCGGGGAAGGGCATCCCCCTGCGCCCCACCTGGGCTGCCCAACCACACCCCCCAGGCGCTGATCTGTGGCCCCGATTTCTGTCCGTCTTCTGCAAGAGAACTCAAGGGAAACTGAACTTCTAGCGCCCGGCAGGGCAGGTCCACGGAAACACCTAGAACAAAGGTGACACCTTCCAAGACCGAGCGCTCGCCGAGGGCTCTCCGGGGTCTTTGGGGCCCGCCGGCTGCTGCGCGCCCGGGCGCCGCCTTTGTGTCCACTCCAGCACCCCACTAGACCCCTCCTGCGCCCCGAAAGTCACTTCCAAATTCGCCGCGGGTTAAGCTGCCTCCGCGGCAACCCCCGGGCCCCCCGGGGAGGGGGCCGCTTCGGAGAGAGGAGCCGGCGCGGCGGCCGCTCGGCCCAGCACGGCCCGCGCCCGGCCAGGCGGGGAGGCGGGCGGGCCGCGGGCCCCGGCCGAGCCGCACAGCCGGGCAGCGCCCCGCCCGCGCCCCGCGCCCGCCCGCCGCACTCACCCCTGGATGCCCGGGCTGTAGGCGCGGCTCTTCCACGGCGTGCCCGGCCAGGGCGCGCGGGGCCCGGGGCCGCCCCCCGCGCCGGGCGCGGCGCCGCGGCTGCCGGACAGCAGGTAGTTGAGGCCGTAGGTGCTCGCCTTGTTCTCGCGCCGCCGGCGGCCCGGGTGGAAGCGCGGCGGCGGCGGGGACGCGGCGGGCGCGCGGGCCGGGGCGCCGTCGGCGGGGGCGCCGGGGCGGCCGCCCGCCCGGGCCTGCGCGGCGCCGCCGGACGACGAGGACGAGCCGCCGGGGCTCTCGGCGCCCGACTCGGCGTTGGACGACGACGGCGACGACGAGGACGGCGACGGCGCCGGGTGCGGGCGGCGCGCGCCCTCGGCCGCGGGGGGCGGCGCGGCGGGGCCCGGCGCGGGCGCGGGCGGCGGGGGCGCGTGGGGGGGGCCCCCGCGGCCGCCGCCCGCGCCCCCGCCCGCGCCCCCGCGCCCGGCCGCGCCCGCCGCGGGGCCCAGCGCCGGCGAGTTGAGGCAGAGCAGGGACGCGAAGCCCGCGCCGCCGCGGCCCACGCCCTGCGAGGTCTCCCAGATCTGCATCCACAGCGCGTTGGCCGGGCCCTTCTGCTCGGGCTGGATCCAGGCCACGCGCGGATCCATCCACGCGCCGCGGCCGCCGCCCCGCCCGGCCCGGCCCGGCCCGGCGCGGCGCACGGACGCGCAGGCGGCGACGGACGGACGCGCGCTCCGCGGCGGCGGGGGCGGGGCGGCTCAGGCGGCGCGGGCGGCGCGGGCCGGGCGCGGGGGCCGCGGCGTGGCGCGCGGGCGGCGGGGCGCGGCCATGGGCGGGGGCGGCGGGGCGCGGGGGCGCCGGCCTCCGTCACGCGCGCGCCGCTCGTGCGGGCTGCGGCGGCGGCGGGCGGGGGCGGGGGCGGGGCGGGGGCGGCGGGGCGGGAGCGGGGGCGGGAGCGGGGGAGGGGGCGCGGGGCGGGGCGGGGCGGGGCGGGGCGGGGGGCGGGCGGGGGCGCCGCGGCCGGCGCGCCAATGAGGGGCGGGGGCGGGAGGACGCGCGGCCTCCCTCGCGGGCCGCGGCGCCAGTGCGCACGCGCGGCCGATTTCAAATCCTCGCTCGGCTCGGCCGCCCCGGTGACCGCGCCTGCGCCCTGAGGCGCCGCTCGGGGCGGGGGCCCGTGGGGCGCAGACGCCGCGGGGGGAGGCGAGGGGCGGCGGGGCGTCCGCGAGTCGCCGGGGTCCCGCGGGGGGCCCCCCTCCCCGCGGCCGCCGCCGGCCGGGGCGCCGGGACCTGCGCCCTGGGGCCGGGCCCCCGCCGGGCCGCGCTGCGCGTGCGCGGAGGCCGCCGCGCCGCCGCCCCGGGACTCGCGCTCATGACGTCAGGGCCCGGCCCGACGGGGCGCGCGGCGGAGCGAGGCCCGCGCCGGACGCCGTCCCGCTCGCCCAGGGCGGCCGCCGCGCCCGGACCCGGAGCGGGGCCCGCGAGCGCGCAGGAGCCCGGAGCCGAGGCCCCGGGGGGCCGTCGCCGCGGCGAGGGGGGCGCTGCCGGGCGCGGGGCCCAGGAGGCCGGCGGCTCGCGGGCCGGGGTGCGGCGCCCGGGACTGCCGGGGCGTCGCGGGGAGGCGGGGCCGGCCGCGCCCCGGGACCCGGCACGCGCTCGGCCGAGGCGGAGGGGCCGACGCCGCCGCCAGCCCCGCCCCGGGAGGGCGCCGGGGGTGGGGGGCCGGGGCCCGGGGGGCGCCGTTCCTGTGGAACTGGGCGCGGCTGATTCCAGGGCGGCGTAGACGCGCCCTCCCGGCTCCTGCCCCGCTTGGGCGGCGTCGCCGCTGCTCCCACACCCGGCGGCCGCGCGTGCTGAGGCGCCCGCCGGGGCTGCCCCTCGGTGAGGAGGGGCGCCGGGTCGCGCCCCCGCCCGCCTCTCGCCCGCGCGGCCTCATCACCGGGACGCGAGCTGCGCGCTGGGTGATCCGCGCCCGCCGTCGCCCCCGGGAGTCTCGGCCTCGCGTCACGCGGGCCTGAGCCCCCGAGTCACCCCGGCCCCGCGGCTCCGCCCGAGCCGCCTCCGGACCCTGCGCGCAGGAAATGTCCAGGCGCGCCTCCGCGCCCGCCCTCCCTGCAGCGCCGCCCTCGGGGGTGTCCCCGCGGCAGCCTCGGGGCTCCTGACTGTCCCTGAGAGTCAGAGCAGCAGTCGCTGCTGCTCGGAGCCCGGCGCTTGCTCGCCGCGTGCGCTGTTAGTCCCGGCCCTCCCGGCCCGCGCGCTCGGCCCGCACCGGCAGATCCAGCCCCGCACGCCCCGCCTCCCTGCCCGCCTTTCTCTCCGCGCACCTTCTCCAGGCCCTCGGGCCCTGTGACGAGCGGAGCGGCACAGGCCCGGAGGCTGACAGCAACCGCAGTGTAGTCTCCCGTCGGGAGGCTGAAGGTCCCAATCGCAGTGTGCCCGGGACCCTGCTCCCTGCCTGGGTGCCACGGCAGCGTGTGTTCCATGCCCGTTCTCTGACCTTGCGGGGTTGCCAGCAGTTGTCAGCATTCCTGGGCTGCTGCTGCCTCAGGCTGATCCTGTATCTGTGTCCCTTCTTGGCAGAATACCGTTCGGCTAGACCAGAGCCCACCCTAATGACACCGCGATTCCATCTGCAAAGACCCCACTTACCAAATTAGGGGACCTGTTACATGTGGGTGTCCAGGTTAGGACCCGAGTACATCGTTGGGGGTGGGGATGGAAATACTTGCAGCCGCTCCAACATCTAACGTGAATTTTCTTATTTATCATCCAGGGCGCCCTCGCCCCGTAAGATTCCCAGTCCACGTGCGGAGGAAACGTATCTGTCCTTTTCCCAGCTGGGAACCAGCTCCAAGGCTGGACCTGGCGGGTCCTCAAGGAGCAGGGGTGGGATGACCAACAGTGGGCGGCTCTGGGGAAGGAGAGCGCAGCCCCTTGCCTGCTGTCCAGGGTCCGCTCTGCAGGATGCTGCCGTGAACGTCTTTTCCCTTCTTTTGCACTCCCGCCCACCCCCTTGCTCTGCCTCTGCTGTTTGCCTCCAGCTCCCCTCCCTTCTGTGCTCATCAGCCAGCAGTCACCTTCTTGTAACGAGGTCTTTGTAACGAGGGACTTTGTTTAGGTAAATTAGAAGCACCATGTTCCTAGCACAGATTAAGAAACAGTTTTGACAGAAAAATGCATCCTCGAGACCGGGGCAGACAAGGCCTTTATCGTTAACTCAGCAACCTGCCCAAAACCCTCTTCGTCTTTCCTGCTGATGGAGGAGGGATGTTAGAAGTTACACATGATCTTGGGGACTTGTTCTCATGTGGCCGCCACGGCTACCTGTGCCAGAATCAGCTGTGCTGAGTGAGTTGTGCATCTCTGGGCCTCACCCACATGACTAAAACTTTCCAGGAGGGGGCCTCCCCGGTGGCACAGCGGTAGAGCGCAGGGTTGCGAAGCTGCCCGCAGTCTCTGCAGCGCCGGTTCGATCCCCGGCTGCTCCCTGGCCACCGGAGGAGGGTCCCCCATGGTGCGCACACCTCTCCTGCCGCCCGCTGCTCCCCTCAGCAGTGCACCTCGGTCCCTCTGCCTGCTCTGCTCCCTGCTCTGCTGAATTCTCTCACCCTCCCGCACTTCTGACTGTACCCAGTGCTTGTATAAATAAATAATAATAAATCTAAAAAAAAAAAAAAAATGAGACTTTAAAAAAAAAAAAAACTTTCCAGGAGGGAGTGCCAGGATTCCTTGTGTCAAAGAAGTTCCCTGGACAGTTCTTTTACATATAAATATACTTTTATTTTATTCCCCATCACATCCCTTATGCCCGTTTGACTGCTTCCTCTCCCTCTTATTTTTTTTTTTTAAAGATTTATTTTTATACCAGAGCTAGGGTACAGGCCAGAGGCACAGGAGGGTGAGAGGATTCACCAGAGACAGCGGGGAGCAGAACAGGCAGACAACCGAAATACACTGCTGAGGGGAGCAGCGGGCACGACAGGAGAGGTCTGCCGCGCCATGTGGGACCCTCGCCTCCCGGCCGGACAGTTTCACAGCGCAACGCTCAACCACCTGCGCCACCAGGGAGGCCCTTCCTCTCCCTCTTAACCTCAGAAATCTCACTTCATTTATTAATGGCTGATGGTTTTTTAATAAATATTTTGGTTTGTGAAATCATCTGCGCTTTGACTCTGTCATTCTGACTTGGTTACGCCACGTGGCCCCTGGAACTCCTTCCAGTTTGCTGTACATGGCCACATTTTGACTTTCCTCATGGCTAGATAATATTCCGCGTGTGGATGGGCCACAGCTTCCTGGTCCACGCTGTCTCTGTGAGCGCTTGGCTGCCTCCCTTGCTAGCTGTCATGAATAGTGCTGCGTGACATCACAGAACATGTAGTTTTTTGAGTTGATGGTTTCACATTCTTTGACGAGATGCCCAAGAGCGGGGTGGCTGCCATGTGATATTTTCAGTTCTTGAAGCTAAATCCACATCGCTCTCCAAAGTGCCCGCCCCAGTTCACATCCCCCGCAGTGTGGTCAGGGTTCCCTTCCTCCACGTCCTCTCCAGCACTGGTTGTTGGGGTCATTGTGATGCCCCCTCCCATGCATTCTCTCGGGGTAAGAGACTATCTCGTTGTACCTGTGACCTGTATCTCTTATTAAAAGTAAGGATGAACATTTTTCCATGTTTAGTTTCTATGCATCCTTCTGCGAACCCTCACGGGTGAACTGTCTGCTCAGATCTGCTGCCCAGGTGTTAGTTGGGTTCTTTAGGGTTAAATTGTGTAAGTTAGTATCAGCTCCTCATTTAGGGGCAGTGCTTATTTATTCTTTGTCTTGTTACCTGTCCATAGTTAAGAGTATTTAAATCCTCTGCAATTATTGTGGTGGTGTCAATGTCTATCAGTCCTATTAATTGTTTCTGTTTGTGTCTTGCCCCCTGCGTTGGTGCATGTCTATTTATATGCTGTTTCTTCTTGGTGTGGTAGACCCTTAAGCACCGTGTCATGTCCATTTCTATCTCTCGTTACCGTCTCAAATTGGAAATCTATTTTATCTGGTATAAATATAACTGTTCCTGAATTTTTTAACTACTACTTGCTTGTAGGATTGTCCTTCAACCTTTAAATCTAAGTCTGAGCTTGTCATTGTGGGTAAGGCGGGTTTCCTGTAAGTAGCAGAATGTCGCCCTTTGTTTTGAGATCTGCTCAGCCCCTCTCTGCCTTTTAACTGCCGCGTTCAAGCCGCTTACACTTCAGGTGATTACTGAGACATAGCGCTTATAGCCATTTTGTTGCACGCACGCACGCACGCACACACACTTAAATTTGTCTTTGTCTCTTTTATGCTCTGTTTAGGTTCTATTTCCGTTGTCTTGTACATTATTTCTGTTGACTTTTGCCTGCTGACGTTAGCGCGCGATGGGCTATCTCTGTGTCCCATTGGGTGGTCTGCTCACCAACGTTTTCAGTCTCCTTCTCCCGCCCCTGCCCGGTTCGGGTGTCTGTAACCTCAGCCTGTGTTTGGTTTGTTTATGGTCGCGTCTTCACGCTCCTGTCCTGTCCAGCTGGGGTTGATAAATTATTTTAGTTTCTGTTTTCCGGTGAAGTTTCTTTCTTATCCTTCTCTCTTGAATGATAATCTTGCAAGGCAAAGGATTCCGGGCTGG